TGCAAACCCTTTGACACAGCAATACTACTCCCGGGTCTGTATCCCAAAGAGATCAAAGAAAAGGGGAGAGGACCTGTATGTACAAAAAGTATTTACACTAGCTATATTTATGGTGAAGATTTATAAACTGAGGGGATGTCCATCAAGAGCAAGTTGTGGTATATGAAAGTGTTAGAATTCTATGGTGCTATAAGAAATGATGAGGAGAATGGTTTCAGAAAAAACCTGGAAACATTTATATGAACTGATGCGAAGTGAAGTGAGCAGAACCAAGAGAACAATATACACAGTATAGTAATACTATAAAGAGAATCAGCTGTGAAAGCCTTAGGAACGCTGATAAATACAATGACCAACAGCAAATCCAAAAGACTTATGATAAAACATGCTACGCAGCTCCAAACAGAGCTGGCTAATGGACTCAGCATGCAGACCGAAGCCTATTTTTTCCCGTCTTTTTCTTTTTTGGACAGGGTTAATGTAGGAATTTGTTTTATGTGACTACACATATTAGTAATGGGTTTTATTTTTCTTGCCTTCTCAATGCGTAAGGGATGGGCAGAAAGGTGGGAGAGAATTCGAAACTGAAAATAAAACTGAATTTAAAAAAAAGGAAGAGGTTAGATGGACAGTGCAAGGAAGGGCATAGTTCCACTGTACTATGTCAGACCATAAATGGAGGACTGTATCGAGTTCCAGGTGACATATTTTAGGACTTGGAACAGTAACGAAATGAAGTAGATCCGGGAGGATAGTGAGAGGACAGGAGACTATGCTATACAAGCTTCAGTTGAAGAAACTACAGATGTTCACTCTGGAGTATAGAAAATTTAGGGGAGTCAAGTAGATATTATTGCGACTGACTCCTCATGGCCACATTTGGGGTTTTCATGGCAGAGATACTGAAGTGGTTTGCCATTTCCTTCTCCAGCTCATTTTACAGGTGAGAAAACTGAGGAAAACAGGGTTACATGACTTGTTTAAGGTCACACGGCTAGTCAATTTCTGAGGCCACACTTGAACTCAACTCTTCCTGACTCCAGGCCTGGAGCTCTATTCACCAGCAATCTAGCTGCCCCCATCAAGAAGATAAAGGGCTTTCAAATGGAAAAGTAAAAGTGGTATTAGTTCCAGATAGGCAGATTACAGTTCCAAGAAAGGGGGGAAAACACTTAAAGCTATCCAAAAGGGAATGGAGGTCCTTGGGAAGTAGCTGAATCCCTCTTATTGGAGGTCTTCGAGCAGAAGCTAGCTTCTGCTCGAAGACCACTTGTTGAAACTATTTTAAAAGGGATTCCTATTCAATCATGTGTTGGAGTAGATGACCTGGACAGCAGTGTGGCATAATGTAATGAGCAATGGATTTAGAATCAGAGGACGTAGGTTTAAACACACTGGTCATGTTACTTATTCCCTGTGTGACCTTGGGCAAGTGCCTTAGCCTCTGGGGGCTGTAAAATGACTATCTGGCTTCTGAGGTCCCTTCCAACTCAGATTCTGTGAAATGCCGGACATTCTTTTGGAAGGTATTCCTCAGGAACAATTTAAAATAAACAACTGGGGGAAAGAGAGAGATTTCTTCAAATTACACAGTTTATTTCACATTTTAAGATTCTTGAAGATGAATCAAGATGCACACGTTTCATTATTTTCGTACCTCATGGGGTTAACAAGGAAAAAGCAAAGGCCAGATCTGCCAGCTGGAATCTGGGGAGGGCCCTGTGGCTGACACAGCTCGCCTACCATCTCTGCTGACCTCAGACCGTTGTCTCTGCTGTGAATCACATCCAAGGGGCCTTCCTATTCAAGAATGTGAACAGCCTTCTAAGCTAGGATAATCAACCAAATGATTGTCCTGGCTCTTTTCTTCCTCTGAATATGAAAGCATATTCTCGTTATTTCTGATTCAAATTCATTAAAACCTTCATCAATCCCTCTTTTTAGAGATTTTAGATCATTGTACAGGAACCTCATCTTGCTATAGAACCTTAATCAATTATTTTGGACTCATCCTCGGAAATGATGACAAGATTTTTTTGTGGGGAATATAGGAGCCTGACCAGAAATTAAGCTACTTGTTTAAAAATGTTACTAGCTTGTCTTCACTTGCAAATACTCTCCTCTTACTCTTCTTACCTCATGCCATTTTTTTCTGCAATCTTACATTCTGGATATACCCTTCTAGATAGAATTACATAATTACAGTCCTTCCTTCTTGTCCACACATAGTCCTCATTTATCATTTCTAAAAGACACTGACTTTTCTCATTCCCAGTCTCTTCCATACACATAGGCCTTCAACCACTGAACCCATACTGTCAAGAGCTAGAGTTGCTATTCAAAGTGTACACACATTAACAAGAGCAATAACACCACAAGTCCCGGTAGCAGCAGCAGCTGAAATCTCACTCCCCACCTAATTATTCCCATAAATATTAAGTGCCTACTATATGTAAGGCATTATAAATTCACCTGCCAGGTCTAATGCTTCCTGGGGAATGCTAATCTCAGTATTTAAGTACTGCACAACGAGATGCAAAATCTTACAAAAACTATTGTCAAATCTCTGAGAGTCTGGAATTCAAGTGAATCTTAAGAAACTATCTTGACTGGGGGAAAATATGGGAAAATGAAAATACAAGGGTTAGATGATTTCCCCTCCCCCCCGCTCTCCTGCTCCTGTGTTTTAATCTATCATCTATAATATGCTGTTTTAGTAAGATCGATGTATGGATTGTGTTATGTAACTTGCTGTGTGACCTAAAGCAAGTCATAGCAGCAATCTGGCTTTCGTTTTCTAATCTGTAAACCACAAGGATTGAACCAGATGAGTTCTAACGCCCCTCACAGCTGTAACGTTCTACGATTCCATGGATGGAAAATGTATGCTGTTTAACACATCTCAGTAACTTTAGAAGCCCTGTGGTCGAAGGCCCCATTGCTGTTCCAGTGCCTCCGGAATCAATCACAAATGCCACTGAGAACGTGGGTATTTTGTCCAATTCCATATGCCCCAGGCTAAATCCCAGGTTCCAGAGCGTGGCGCCTACTTTCTGGAAACCCTCTAAAGAAACTTGATGACTGTCAGCAAATTTATCCTTAAGCCAAGGTGGTTCCTCTAGCAAAGCCACTTACAACATTTATGACATCACTTACAAAACAGTTGGTAAGGAGAGGCGGTCAATGGGAAGGGCCAAATTTCCCCTAAACAAAGGCAGTACTTTGTGCAGTTCAAGACTTCAGTCCTAACCTATTCTGCCAGGTACTATTGTTTATTTGCTATGCACATGCTGGTGGTAGAAGAGGGCACTTTAAACTAAAGTATGAACTGTTCTTTTGGGCTGAATGGTACAAACCAAGGCTGCCCAAAAGATACATCCCTGTGCAGAACACTTTAACGTAGCAGCTAAAAAGGAAACTTTTACGTTCAAATGCCAACAATAATTATAAAATTCAAAGGGCTGGCAACTATCTCACTAAGATTGTTTCCAGTTCTTTCATACTCCTTTCTCCCCACCTCCTTGCCGAGCCCACCTGTGATTACTCTAGGAAGCCCCAAAGGAACCCTGCCTGCTCTCATGAAGCCTACACTCCATGCAGGTAGGCATATAGAGCCAGTAACTGATTCAGGACTGGGGTTTTCTGGCACACATGCCTGCCTGAAGCATTTTTCTTTAAACTGCTCTGTACAGACAATTGGGAGTACCAGAAAATCTTACAAAAACACAACCCTATGACTGACAAATGTCTCTCTGAAACATCAGTTCATTCCTAGACTTGCCGTTCTTTCTGGATAGGGCTTAAAATGTAGCAAGTGCTCAAACAATAATTCAGGTAACCATCAATATCAACAATTTACAAAAGAAAGGCCTTTAATCCAAAGTAGACCTCAAATTTCTAGTTCCAAGCCCACATCCCAGTATTTTTCTCAAAGTGGACAGACTGATTATATTCAGCTTATTCTAAAATAGACCTAGACCCAAAAGGAGCACAGATGGGTTTGTGGCATAATCATCCTCTTTGAGAGGTGGCCATGCTTCTCCTTATTTCCCTGAGTTTGAGACAGCAAGAGCTCACCATCAGATCTCCAAAAGCAGCAATTGTGGGTAAAATAATCAGTAAATTAATTTGGTCTCTACTCCTGTTCTAGGGCTTGTCATGGTCCCTTTAGGGTAGAATCTATGACCTTCTTTTACAATTCAGCCCCACTTCTGGATAGTGTTGCTGTAACAGACAATAATAACAACAGTTTTAATGATTCACTCTCCAAACACTACACAAAAAAAGAAGAAGCAACTTACTATCTAGCCTCAAACTGAATGAAGAAAGATAGATGACATGATCAAAGTGGTAGGTGGGTTAGACTGGAGTGGTGGAAAACACTTTCAAAATTTGAAAGTATTTCCAGATCCCTTCCCTCTTATACAAACTGCTTGTTAGATGAACATGATCCCGTAAAACAACATTCACAGGTACAAGAAATGTCTGTACCAAGCTCTCCTGATAGACACTAACCTACTCAGCCACAGAAAACAACAACTTATGCCAAGCAAAAAAGACATACTGCTTATTGTCCGTTACGTTAAAATCTGTGTAGTTCGGCTACGTGGACTAATACTTGTTCTATAAGTATTTGCCAGTCTGTTACACCCCCTAAACATAAACATAGGATACTGGGTCAGGCAACTTGGCAGTAAAATAAGACAGTGAGGTGATGTGGGTAGCTTTCTATAGTTTTCTTCAAAACCTTCAAAGTTTTATAATAGGTGTCCTATTATTGACGCCTCCAAGTTCCTGACCCAGTTGCTCTAACTTTTTCAGGTATTTCACAGAAAAGGCCAATGGCTCTGAAGAACATAAAGATTAAAAGAGATACTTATAATGAAGAAAAGAAAGATAGGAGAAAGAAGACTCAGAAAGTTTGCACAATATCAAAGCTCAGTTTGCTTTGTGAAGTCATGGTTACTCATCATAACCACCAGAGGGCGCATGAGTCCTCATTTTTTTTTTTTTTTTCCTCCAGTCAGCAATTCCACTGAGAATATTTCCCCATGGAAAGTCTGGGAAGTTACAAAGAGAGAGAACAAAGGTCCCTGTGTGGGTGGACATATCTGAGTGATGGGCCTTATCAGTAGAGACAGTGATGATAACTGCCCGGGGTCTCTACACTTTTTTGCTTTCTTGTAGAGAAGCTAAGTCAGAATGGTGTTTTTTGACTCCCTGGCGAACCCACAAAGGAAAGCTGAGCTCCTTGGGTCCCCAAGAAGGAAGTACAACACATTTTACAGCCAAGGTGTAGTTCCAGGACGGGCTTCTGGGCAGGGCCAAGCATCCCAGTGACAGGGCATGGGCGAGCACAAGCTCACAGCTCTGTCGTGAGCAAACATTTGCGCTGCTTCCTCAAGGCTTCTTCAGCCAGGCCCGGGACAGAGCTGGAAAGAAAAGACAAAGAGTCTGTGAGGATGAGACACGGCTGGGCAGAGAAGCAGTGATTAGCCCTTCTTTCCCTTCAGGAAAAGGGCTTTCAAGTGACTTACATCATAGCAATGCCTTGTTTAGTTGGTACTAAGCATTTGTGTATGCGTTTGTGGCAATGTTTGCAACATTAAGTACATTTTCCAGATAGAGTATTTAAATCACAAAATTAACTTCAACCAAATTCCGAAGAAAATATTTTCTTGAATACATTATACACATCCCTGCTTTCTTAACACTAAATATAATTTAAAGTTCTCACAACAACTTAGGGTCACCAACGCAAACACGTCATTGTACAAAATCCAATGATTTCCCCAGGGTACTGAAATGGATTGCAAGATGCTTCTTATATTTTTAATGTACATTTCCATTGTTCGGTTCCTGCTTCTAGTAGCATCCCTGCTCCCACTACTTTGCTGTTGCTAATCTAGTGTGGGCCTGGGAATCACAGCCAAGCTGGTTAGATATCTGGATAAAGAGTAAAAGGATTACAAAAGCCTCCTAGGACCTCCTTAACAGCTGATGAGCACAGTGCTAGAGCCGCATTAGTTCTCTGTTACGGCTGCTCAGAAGCCATTTCTGGGTAACTTCCAGATTCCCAGACATGTTCTGAATTACTAAAGGTGCTAGACAACACTATGTGACTGTATTTGCTTGATTTTCTAGCCAAGGTCTCAGTTCATTACTGCTATTTCCTTTCACGGTTCTTCCAAGGACTACATCTAGAAGAGATGGAGAAATTCCCCATTTACCACACGAGTCCCCTTGCATAGTACCCCTGACGCTCAATTGAGTCAGCAGAATTTTCCAAAGGGGCCTATGTAAGCATACAAAATACTTAGGAGAGGCCAGAATTTACTTGTGCTTAGACAGACTGTGAAGGCTATTAACAAAAATAAAGTAAAAGTATTTTTGGTTTCTCTCAAGATGGTAATTTCTTGAGTTTTTTTTCTCTGAAAGAACTAAGTGCTTACGCGGACCAAAACTCTCTGAACCAGAAGCTACATCTGAGGGGAAAATAGGCACAAAGAGTCATGATAAGTGGAAAAGTGAAGGCCACGCATTCCTGATACGTCAAAATAGGATTGGTTAATGTCCCAGCAAAGGCTAAAATACAAGGGCCTAAAATACAGAAAGCTATTTTAGGTACAGTTCCTATCTATGATAAATAGCTTCAAAGAGTGTCAATAGCTAGGACTCAGACACATCAATCTTATTCAACCTTATAGTCTTTCTTTCACTTATGGTCATGTGCACTATATATCCCTTCACACACATCCCAGCCCACCAACCCACAACTGGGACTAACCATCTCACTCTTTCCCATAGCCCAACCTGCCAGTGGCAGCAGGAAGATAGACCAGCAATACCTGCTGCCATTGAGGGGAGCCCCAGACTTACCCCTTCTCCTTGGCTCCACTGCCCAGTTCCAAATAGGTATAATACGTCCACTCTCAGCAGAACACTGATCCTTAGATTCCCCATCTTTGCTGGAGATAACTGAGAACCTCATACCATTATAACCCCAGAGCCTAACATCCTCATGGCAGAGGACCATTTGCCCTGCCATTACTCCCCAAATCCTCTGGGCCTTGCCATTTGCTCTGCTGCCTTCCTGGTCTAAGTACTACTCGGCCTTTTTATCCATCATGAACTGAACATAACTATGAACTCTTCTTTACATGTTGTCTCCTCCAATTAGAATGTGAGGTCCTTGACAGCAAGGAATGTCTGTTTTCTTGTATGTATCCCCAGCACTTAGCACAGTGCTTGGTACACAGTAAGTGCTTTGTTAATGTTTTTTATTCCATTCTAGCAGTTTCAACAGCTGTATATAAAAACTGCAAATAAGTCAAGGCACCATAATCAAGTTTAAGGTTTCTTCATAAAGTCATAAAGACCTATAGACTTAGCACCTAACAGAGAGACAAGTAAGGAGCTAAAGAATAAATGGAGAGAAATGATATCCAGTTGTACTCCATTGCACTCCCTCCCATTCTGAACAGTTGTCTATGAAGGACAATAGGAAAAGATCTCACGTGGTCACAGCATCAACGAGGAAGGGCCCTGGCTGGGCGATCAAGGAGAGCACTTCTGGGTCACCACATTCCTCTTTTCTTTCCACAGGCACTTCATTCCCTGAGATCCCATTGGAAAGAGTCCTGGTCTGCTGTAGGAAGACAAAACAAACCAAAAAATTGGCATCAAAATGACCACAGCGAACAAGTACTACCCTACATGGTTGTCAATCACAGCCAAAGTTATCCTTGAAGAAAGAGTGGAAGGGGATGTTAACAAGGTGGAAAACGTGAAAGATACTTTGAGAATAATTTTGGCTATAGTGCAAGGTCCCTTAAAGGATAATACTTAACTACCCTGAATTCTGCATTCTCATCTATCACTTCAGAGGTTTTTGTGGATTCCTCCCAGCACTTCTGAGTATTTAAAGCACACAGAAATGTTAAAAAAAAAAAAAAAAAAAAAACCCAGGTCACCTAACTCATTATGAAGTTTTGATCACAATGCTCAAGATTCTTAGGTAATTCTAAGCTTATCTATCCCATATCACAAGTATTAATAACTCACTGGCACAATCCAGCGGGGTGTAACCGAGGATAAGGAAGACACCTAAAAGAACAGAAGGAGAACATTTTTTTACTAAAGCACTAAAATCTTTTTCTAGTATTAAACGAAGAATAGAATAAGAAAAAATCTTTAAAGTTAATAGTCAAGTTTTTAAGGAAATGTTCCAAGGAGGGAATGAAATCCAAGATCCCTTCCTATGACAAATAACACATACTGCATGGGATACTGCTAGGGATGAGGCAGTTCCTGTTCCATAAAAAGTAGCATAGGCTTTCTACTAACCTAAAGAGACGATAACCTATTAACCAGGAAGTTTTCCCTGGTATACAGCATATTTTCTCTTCTATAATTTTAGCCTATTGTAACTAATTATAGTCTCCCTGGTAGAAGCCAGAAGGAGGACCTATGATAAGCACATGTAAACAGAACAAGGGGAATAGAAGAGAAAGCACCTGTTTGTATGGATGGTTTTCTAATTATGAATCATGGCTAAGGAAAACAATAAAGATTCTAAATATGGCTTATTCCAGTTTCAGGCAAACCTTCCTGTGTTTGAATTAGAGTATGCCATTTCTCTTTAATGCCATTTCAATTTAGTTCTGAAACTGATGCCCATTTTGTCCTCTGGCATTGGAAAACAGTAAATACTTGAGCTGCCCTTGCTTTAGTTCTCTAAGTCAAGATACAATTTATTTATAGAGATTCCACTATTCCCCACAGGGATCATCATTCATTCCAGTCAAACAATTCTACTTGCCACTAGCAAGCAGGTTTTTCTTTCCATACCTTTGTAAACCAAGCCATTTTCCTCCTCCCTTCTATAAATCTGACTCAGGACCTCGCTCAAATCCTACCTCATCCATGAAGTTTCTTCTGATCATCTACATAGGATCTCTCCTTCCTCTGAATTCATTTGTTCTGCATTTACTGTATATACTACATTTGCTTATTCTGGTAGTGGGGAGGACATGAGGTATAAATATTATATTATAAAATACAGACCCTGTTGTCCTTTAGGAGCTTGCAACTTAATAGGGCAGAAAAAGTGAGCATATGAAGTATAATAATAAAGATAGTAAATGATAACTGTATGAGATGTGTGGTTTAAATAATGTGCTAGAAGAGCTCAAAAAAGGGGAGAAATCACATCTGGCTCAGGTGTTACAAGCTGACAGAAAAACTTTTCTTTCTATTTCAGTGGTGAAGATGACATGATGTTCTTCCTTTATGAAGCAGCCACCTATAAGCAGGTATTCCAGATAGTCTTTTTATTAATGGTGGGGTGCTGTTGCACTGAGCCTCACTGCCTAATTTACTTTTTTAGTCATAGGACTTCTCAGATTTGGGGGTGGGCAGAGAAGGCAATCTTGGAAATAAGTACTGAACTGAAAAGAGGACACAGACGTTATTCACTTTCACTCTTAAAGGTCTGTCTTCTAGTGACCAAATCCATGGGTCAATTCTCATTTCTCATCCTTGACCTACCTCTCTGCTGCACTTGATACTGCTGACCTTTGTTCAAACTTTTTCTCTGGAATTCTATCACACTATTTTCCTGATTCTCCCCCTAACATTTTTTTTTTGGTTTGTTCTTCTTCCTACCCCCCAAATAAAGACATTTTCCCCTAAGGGCATTCTTTTTAGCCTTCTTTTCTCTCGATAGTCATGGCCTCCAACTCCATGACATCAATAATTATTTTAATACAGTTGGTTCCCAAATCTTCATCTCCAGCCTTGACCTTTCTTTTACTTTCAGGTTGCATTTTCATCTGCTTGTTTAGATAGCTCCACTTGGATGATCAGCTGTCATTCCAGATTCAACATAATCTAAAACCTCATCTTTCCTTGAAAAACCTGATCCTACTACTAATTTACTTATTTATATTAACAATATAATCTTTCCTGTCACTCAAATTCAGAACATAAGACTTGACATCCTTAACTATAAACACTTCCTTATCCAAATCATCTATTCCCAATCATTCTATTCCAATTATAAAGTTTTCCCTTACAGAAAGCCCATATTTGTCTCTCTGAAATACCCACCCACTGCTCCTTACTCTTTCCTCTTAGGAACAAGCAGAACAAATATAATCCCAAGCCACATGCAAGTCCTTCGAGTAACTGAGGACCACTCTCAGGTCCCTCCCACTCCTTTCATGTCTTTTCTTGGTGACACTGAACATACTCAGTTCCTTCAACTGATCCTTAAGGTCCCTCAGCCCTACTCTGTGCAATGTCCTCACAGACATCACCACGGCCGAGGTTCCCTTCAGCTCTCACCTGAACTACTGCAGTAGACTTCTAATAGGTCACCCTGACTGCATCCTTTCTCTTATTCCACTCTAACCCACGTGCTGCTGCCAGATTAAATTATGCACAGCTGTGATCCTATCATCTGGCCCACTCAACAGACATGCAAAAACCATAAATGGTTCCCCTCTGTCTGTTGAATAAAGTCTTAGCCCAGCTTTCAAGACCTTTCATATTCCAGACCCAGCCGCTCCATCTGTCCTTATTTTCCTATTCTTCCCTTCATTCTGTGCTCCAACCAGAACAAATTACTGCAAGTACCTTCAACCTTCTCATCACAGGGCCTTTTCTTCCAACTGAAATGCCTTGATTCCCCAATACTGCTTTTTTTCCCCAAGTAAAATGTTTTTCTCAATTATCAAGTATTTTTTTTCTCTCTCTCCCTCACACCTCCCACACACCCCACTGGAGGAAGGGAGGGTGGAATCCTTACAACAAATATGCATAGTAAAGCAAAACAAACCCTCACATAGGTCAGGTTCAAAAATGTGTATCTCACTCTGAGTATCTGTTGTTTTTCAGTCACTTCAGTCATGTCTGACTCTCTGTGACCCCATTTGAGGTTTTCGTGGCAAAGATACTGGAGTGGTTTGCTATTTCCTTCTCCAACTCATTTTACAGATGAAGAACTGAGGCAAACAGGGCTAAGCGACTTGCCTAGGGTCAGCACAGCATGTAAGTATCTGGAGCCAGATATGAACTCACAAAAATGAGTCTTTCTGACTTCAAGCCCAGCAGTCTATCCACTGCACCACTCAGCTACCTAATATTTAGTTGTATTATTCTGAAATTTTAATCCATCCCTTCTCTGTCAGGAGGGGTCAGCATTCTTATCACTGGGCCTCTGAAATGTTGATTGATCACTGCACTGATAAGAGTTCTTAAAGTCTTTCAAAATTGTTCATTTTTGCAATGTTGTTGAAGTATAAACTGTTCTCCTGGTTTGGCTCTTCCTGGCACTGTTTGTTCAATTCTTTCTAATCCATGAAACCTTCCCTAATTCCCCCAGCCAGATGGAACCTCTCTCCTCTAAATACCTACTGAAAGTGGCACTTTGACATTCTTTTTATTATAGTTGTTTACAATTGTATTTCCCCTTGCTAGATTGCAAGCTCTGTGAGGACAAGAATCACATCTTACACTTTTTAGCAGCCAGTATACAAATAGTAGGTAATGAATAAAAATGTATCGCCTTGGCCTGACATTTTGTTTTACCTGTACTGGATCTATACTGATTCATATCTACTACATTAGAAATGACAAAATTTATATACAAATTTATTTTTACATTTTATATCAAATGGTATCATTCTTTTGTCCACATCAGATCCCATGTGATCCCTTTAGGAAGATGGGATTATTACTAGTAACTTATGAGATGACTTAATTGATATTGTTCCCAATTAAGGGGAAAAATTTCCTAAGAAATCGGGATGTCCAAAAATGGAATGGGCTGCCATGGAAGGTAGTGGGTACCCCTTCTGTGAAGGTCTTCAAGAAGAGACTTTTCACTTGGCAAGGGCTGTCATAGAATTCTGTTCAGCCATGAGTTGACATAAATTTCTTTCTTTCTTTCTTTTTTTTTTTGGTTAGGCAATGGGGTTAAGTGACGTGCCCTGGGTCACACAGCTAGTGTTATGTGTCTAAGGCCGGATTTGAACTCAGGTGCTCCTGACTCCAGGGCCGGTGCTCTATCCACTGAGCCACCTAGCTGCCCTGACATAACTTTCTAACTCTGTGATTTGGCTTGGTCTAATGGCCATGTGAACATCTCAGAGGCATCTTTACCTTGACTGTCAACATTAGATCTGTTTTTCATAGCATTTACTACTGACGATAAAAACATCTTACATTTACATAATGTTTAATCTCATGACTACTCTGTGAGATTGTCCTATTAGTATATTAGTCTTATATCACATGTTATGAAACTAAGTTTCTAAGAGGTTAAATGACTTGTTCATAGCCATATGATCAGTAAATGGCAGTCCAACTTGAGCTACAAGTACAGCACTCTTTCTATTCTTTTCATGAATCAGTAAAATTCATTTTGTACTCCAACTCATCACGTGGAGCTCTAGGAAGTTTTCTGTTTGCCTTATTTTCTCATCTAGAGCATAAGCTACTGGAGGACAGGGTCCATATCCTACATTTTTCTGTATTGTCTACAGCACTCTTACAGAGATACTTAGATACAATAGTAGGAACTCAAAAAAATTTGATTGACTGGCACATTTGACTAGATACTTTTTTCTGGGAAATAGCTAACAAGAAGAAAGCTAGCATTATTCATTAACTAGACCCCCCTTTCCCCACCTTTTGTATGATTTTTGTGAACCATAGTTACCGGAGGTACAGCAGTTAAATCAATCAGATTCTCTGTTAATGATGACAGCAGGGCATCCAACTCATCAGTGGCACTCTATGGAAGACAAAATAACTATTACAAACAAATTTACTTCCTAATTTCCCCTTCAATTTATTATTCCGACCCAGGCCAATTTGGGTTAATCCTATTAAGGAAATATGAATATTTTTAATTTATGCTGGGTTTTTTTGGGGGGAGGGGTACTTTTGTTATACTTGGAGAGTGGGGAAAGTCCATACCTAGAACTTAGACGAGATGATATATAATTTTTATTAACTTCTCAAACCAGCTTTTGTGACTTGGAATATTATGCTTATTGTTTCACCCCTTGGACACTAGGGCATAGGAATCAGGATGGGAAGCAGTGAGTCAGAAAAGATTCCTAAAAACCTCTGGATCAAAACTTCAATGTTGAACTCTACTGTCCAAAACTATTGGTATGAAAGTGTGCTGGCTGTAAAGCCATACTGGATATTTATTCCATGCATCCTCATGATCCCTCTTTCTTTACGTACCCACAGAGGAGACAACACTTTACTGGAAACTATAGAATTAAGATTCTGATCAAGAAAACACACAGAAGTCCAAATCTAAGGATGTAAGAACCAAAATCTGGGAGTAGAGGACTTGCCCTGAAAAGTCTTTGAAATTTTCCAACTTCTCTGTTCCAGAAAGCCTTGGGAACAGTTTACTGATTTTTCTGTCTCTTCCTTTTGTTTTATTTTATTTTATTTTGGGGGACAGGGGAGGCAATTGGGGTTAAGTGACTTGCCCAGAATCACACAGCTAGTAAGTGTCATGTGTCTGAGGCCAGATTTGAACTCAGGTCCTCCTGACTCCAGGGCCATTGTTCTATCCACTGCACCACCTTGCTGCCCCCTTTTGTTTTATTTCTTAACTGGCAAAAAAAGAAGTCTCCTCAGGGAAGGCTATGTTCACTGAGCTTTTCTGTGTTAGCTCAATTTTTGAATATAAACCCAGAGACCATAGCAACAAACCACCTACTATCAACCATTTTAAAATTAAATTTGATTATAGAATGATTTGGATAATTCAGAGTCCACTCCTGTTTCTAGTTTGTTTATGTAATTTTGGTAGGAATGTTGTGGAAGAACATAGGATAAATGTAGAAACTGGAATGTGTTAAGTTCTATGTAGAACCCAGCTGATCACAGCACCAGCAAGTCAAAATACTACTAGAAGAATGGAATCATATCACTACTGGAATCTTTATTATAATGGAAACCAGAAGATAAAAAGAAGTTGCATTTAAATGGAAGAATTAATTAACAAACATTTGTTAAGCACCAACTATATGCCAGGTACCAAGCTAGATATTGAGGATATGGACAAAAATGAAACAGTACCTGTCCTCAAGGAGCTTACGTTCTATTGGTGGAAGCAAATGTGGTTTCACCCCCCCCCCCCACACACACTCTTAAAAATGCTTGTTGACCGACCCAAAATAAATACAAGGAAACTGGAGGGGGGGGGCCCCACACAAACAGCTGGGGCCAGGAACCAGGTAAGACCTCCCACAGGAGGTGGTATGACCCAAGTTTTGAGGGAAATTAGATTCTAAGTAGCAGAGGTGAGGAGGCAATGCATGTCATTGTGAAGACAAAGTTTTGGGACTTTAAATCAGTAAAGCATTTTACAATTATTAATTGTCACAGTCCGAGGCACAGCTCCTAATCCCTCCATGTAAATAATAAGTACGATGCCCAAGGCTATAAACCAAGTTCAGTTTTTAAGCACCTTCTTTATCATCTCCACCAAAAAGGAAAGCTCCAACTATTTTTTAGTCACTTCATTAATAACTCTGCCCCTCTAATCCATCTTTCAAACTATCAGTGAATAACGTGCTTGTGTTTTTATGTATACATCTAATCTTGGCACTCTTCAAAAATCTTTAGTGGTTCCAAATTTCCTACAGAGTTCAAACTCCTCTTTCTGGCTTTCTTTCCTCTCCCTGGCAATCTGATACCTTCCACTTTTATAACCTAACTTCACACAATTCCCAGATAATTCTCAAAGTCTCTTTCAGTTCTAATCAATGATCCTATAATCCTTGTCAAGTAGAGAGATATGCAAGGCAAGGACAACATCAATTTAGAATATAAACTCATTTATAAAATCACGCAGAGGAGAATGAAGCTCCTTGAGGACACGAACTATTGTTTTTGTATCTCCAGTGCTGGCACATTGGAGGCACTTCAATGTTTATTTGAATAAATTAATGAATAAATGAATCAGAGTTTGGAGATTATGAGAAATACTGCCTCATGAAACAGCAAGAAGCAGTGGGAAAAAACAGTTTACAGAAGGTTTGACAAGAAATCAAGTTAAATCAGATGATCCTGGGAGCACTTAAGAATGAAACTAGAAGGCAACAGATAACATATAGGAAAGTATAGAAGTACTGTTTCTATACCAAACTATTTTCTCCATCAATGAAAGTGGAACCATCATATCTCATCTTATTTATAAATAAGCACTGTCCCTAGTGTGCTGCATAAACAAGCAGAAAGAGCAGTAAAATAAACAAAAGCCACAAAAGTCGCTGGGTCAGACCAAGCACCCCCGTCTGTATGTACTGGGAGCCCTCTTCTGAGATCTTTAAGTCAAAACTGGATGACTGCGTGTTTAGCATGTTACAGAGAGGATATGAAACAGAGGTTGCACTAGATGGTCTGTGATTCGTTCCAGTTCTGTAGTTTTTGGCATCTTGGCATCTGAGATATTTTAAACTATTAAATGGCTCTATAAAACCTTGAAGAAAATAATTTGTACACATATTCCTTAAGGGTTCTTTAAAGGAAACATGAAAAAGAAACAGGTAGGGTTGTATAAATGATATTCTACGGTAGATATTTTTATAGTCACACAATTGCCTGAGAGGGGAAGAGAATACAACATCCCACTAGGGTTACTATTTGTTTATGAAAAAGCATTTGGGGGCAGCTAGGTGGCACAGTGAATAGAGCTCTGGCCTTGGAGTCAGGAGGACCTGAGTTCAAATCCAGCCTCAGACATTTAACACTTACTAGCTGTGTGACCCTGGACAAGTCACTTAACCCCGATCATCTCACCAAAAAGAAAAAAAAAAGCATTTGATTCAAAGAAAGAATGCCATATTAAAACATCTCTCTTCCAACAAAGTGTTTCCCTCACATGTTAAAATCATGCAAGATACCTTGAAAGCCAAAATCTAAAACTTTGTTTGATGACCCTCTAATTATTAATATTAAGTGAAACAAAGAACAAGGAAAACTATGGTTGTCAAAGGTATTTTCCATTGTCATGAATGATATCCAGCACAGAATCCAAATGGAAAAGATAGTGAGGTCCACTAATGTTCCTATTTACAGATTACATATTGATTGCACCAAGCCCTAATCACTAAGAAACATCCTAAGTGAAAACAATAATCACTTAAAAGAGTCTAGCCTAACTATCTACATGGGAACAAAAAAAACAGTAGTTGAAGAATTCCTATGACCCATAGTCTGATATGCTGTTGGAAATGTATGTATGTATGCATGTATGTCATCAAACTACAGCCTGAGGGTCAAATCCGGCCCTCTCTGCCTTTCTGTGTGTTTAACATTATTGTAAAAAACATTTTTAGCTCCAGCTATACAAAAACATACAGAAGCAGAAGGAGATCCAGTAACCAAAAACTCAAAGAGGAAAACTGAAGAAATTGCTAGGAGAAGGCCTGTGGGAAATCTACAAACAATATACTACCTGAAAAATACTGTAGGTGGTTACACAGATGATCAGAAGTATTCTGTATAAATTAGAGTTCCAAGGTAAATAAAGATTTAATAAAAATTTTTGAAACTTCATCTTAGTGATTCAATGTTATATCCCAGGCTTTGGAGAACCTGAGAAGGCAAAGAGTCAGTATGGCTTAGAGCAGGGGTTCTTAACCTTTTCTGGGTCATGGACCCCTGTAGAAGCCTGGTAAATAATGTTTCAAACTTAAAAAGGAAATAAATTATGTTAAAATATCACTATATTAAAAAGAATGTTCATGTTCAGCTGCTTTTCAGTTGTCTGACTCTTAGTGACCCCATTTCTCAGCAAAGATATTGCAGTGGTTTGCTATTCCCTTCTTCAGCTCACTTTACAGACGAGGAAACTGAGGCAAACAGAGTTAAGTAACCTACCCAGAGTCACAAAGCTAGCAAGTATCTGAGGTCAGATCTGAACTCATGAAGAGGAGTCTTTCTGACTCTAGGCCCAGCACTCTATCTTCTATGCTAACTAGCTGCCCATTAATAAGAAACAAATTCTCAAATATCAGGTTAAAATATCTTGGCATAACAGGAACTACACTGGTCTGAAAGTCCTAAGATCGACTCTTTACATTTGCAGCTAAGTCAACTAATCTCTCTGAGCCTCAGTTTGCACATCTGCCAAAAGAAAGGTTCTCAATGATCTGAAGTTCCCTTCCAGCTTTAAAATGTGATACATTCTTGAGTCTAACAAAGTTCTCTTACCTTTAGAACAGAGTTATCTTCCACAGCATTTGGATGCGTGGGAATCACTGTGTTTTCTGGACTAAGAATTTTGTTATCTTCTTTTAACACATTGCTGGGAAAGAAAAAAGAAATGTCTTTACTGTGCCACAAAGGTCCCATGAAGTCAAGAGCAGTGTCCCAAAGTGCTTTATTCATGAAGTATAACAGAAGTCAGTGGTGCAGTAGAAGGATGGTTAAATAGATTGAACTCAGTTTGTACAAAAGACAACCCTTCTCCCACTGTTACTGCAGCTGGGAGGACCTGTGGGTCCTAGTCCAGTTAGCCGCGCTCTTGGGAAGCCTGCAGGGGCTACCAATTCCATGAAAATCAGTTGTAGGGGTGATCTTAAAGCAATGGATAGTACTAATGGAGGTCACCAGGATTATCAATGACTGAAGCAGAGTGCCTTACTGACAATTATAACCCTGTTCTGACAGCTAAATTCTATTACGTACTGCAGCCTAAACTGGACATCACACTTGGATGACCGCAAACGTGTCCCCCCAGTCATCTTCACTTCCCAAGATCCTCTCTATCAGGCTCCATATTTGATTTTCTTTACAATCTTGAAATCCACCTCATTGAGCCCATTCTAGCTTTGCTTCTTTATATTACATTACACTCCCATGTAATGAAGCTACTGATTTCTTCAAAGCCAAATTATAAGATTTGAGGGTTTCTGGTGATTTTCAAAAGGAAACCTGGAAATGGCTAAACAAGTTGTAGTATATAACTGTAATGGAATACTATTATGCTATAAAAAAAGGATGAGCAGGATTACTTCAGAAAAACCTGAAAACACTTGTATGAATTGATGCAGAGTGAAGTGAGCTGAACCAGAAGAACATTATACACAGTAACAGTAATATTATATGATGATCAACTGTGAATGTTAGCTATTCTCAGCAATACAATGACCAAAGACAATCCCAAAGGACTCAATGATGAAAGGCGTTATCTGTCTCCAGGGAAAAAAGTGATGGAGTCTGAATGCTGACCAAAGCATACTATTTTCCTCTTTCCTCCTTCCTACAAAATGACTACTATGGAAATACGTTTTACATGATTGCGCATGTATAACATATCAGCTTTCTTACAACCTCAGGGAGGGGCCAGGGGAAGAAGAAAAGAATTTAGAACTCAAAATTTAAAAAAAAAAAAGAATGTTAAAAATTGTTTTTACACGAAATTGGGGGAAAATAAAACACTGTTAATAAAAAAGGAAAAAAAGAAAAAAAGAAGTAAACCCAGGGAGGTGTAGGACTAATGATCCCACTACTCTTGTGAAAATAAGTACACTCATAGACAAGTTCAAACTCAGCCCAATAAAAATAAATTATGCCCTCTGGGAAGCAAGTTGGATGAACAATTTAGAAATAAGGGCAAACTGCAAACAAAGACCAGCATCAAAATCAAAGAAAAAGAAAGACTGTGCACCATTAGTGAGGAATGACTATATTCCCAGTTCTATTACTAACACACATTTTTTGTGGCCCCTCAGCATCAGTGACACAATATATCATCTTTATTGTCACCATTAGCTCCTGGGTAGACAGCTGCTGTTCTTATGGAAGGACTAAAACCTCACAGCTCTTAACAGTATTCACATTCCTACATATTTGCAGGTTTTAAGAATGTAAATATTTGAACTTTTCCCTACTTGGTTTCTTACTGAAGGGGTCAAGAAGGCCAACACCATGGGTAACCAGCTTTGCCTATCTACAGAGTCATGGAATTTACCTTGAAGTATCTTAATACTCTAAAATTAAGTGTGCTGGCATCGAAAGGAGGTTGTGACCAATCTTGAACTCACCAGTGTATTAAATAGTGTTGAAGCACTCTCCTAAGATACTCTTAAGAATTCTACAAACTCTATTACAGTTCAAAAGCTGATACAATAACGTTTTAGATACATGTTGCTCCATGTCTAAGCAAGAGGAGGTTCTGTTACTGTAGTGACGAGCACACCCTCGGGGACACAACTGGGTCAAGAAAAGTCTAGTTAGCTCTTGGGTAGATTAAGAAGGACCAAGAGAGTTCAAAAGAGACATGATTGAGGGTATAATGAAGCATCTGACATTAGAGCTTTCACTTTCATCATATTCAAACTCCCTTGAATTATGAAAGATGAGATTTGGAGTCAGAAGACTTTCTGACTCAGTCAGGCTCTTTCATTTACTAACCTTGGGCAAATTCTTTGACTTCTCTCTATCTCAGTTTCTTTATCTATAAAAAAAAAAGGAGGTTGGGGGGCAGCTAGGTGGCGAAGTGGATAGAGCACTGGCCCTGGATTCAGGAGGACCTGAGTTCAAATCCAGCCACATAACACTTCGTAGCACTATGACCCCTGGGCAAGTCACTTAACCCCACCGCCTAGCCAAAAAAAAAAAAAAAAAAAAGGAGGGTGGATTAGATCAGGAGTTCATATCTAGGGTCCATGAACTCATTTTTTAAAAATATATATATATTTTGATAACTCTATTTTAATACAATTGGTTTCCATTAGAATATTAAGTATTTTTACTTTATGCATAAAAACGTTACTCTGAGAAGGGATCCATAACACAAAAAAGGTGTTTCTGGATTAGGTGGTTTCTAAAAACCTCCAAATCAAAGTTATGATACTATTCAGTTCCCCTTGGGTGCAGTACACACACATACACACACACACTCATACACCCTTGTGCATGTTTGCCTGTTTTAGTCTTCACAAACAAAAGCACAAGATGCGTAACAGATGCGCAGTATCTAACTACAGAGAAAAACACAGTTATAAAGTGATCACAGCATGACAATCACGAGATGCCAAATACGCTACATTACTGTACAATAGTTTTACACTACTTTGACCAAAGAAAGCACCAGAAATAAAGCTAGACACTTGGCAAAAGAACACAACGTGAAGGGGTTATAGCAGACATTTTCTGATAGAAAAAAAAATTAATGATTTTTGTATAGCATCTTAAGATTTGCTAAGTGTTTTACATTCTCATTTGATTACACTAGGCAGAGCAGTATTCTACCTTCTCACTAGTCAAAAGCTGTATTCTCTTCTTCCAAGTACAGACAACAAGAAAAAATGATTGAGTAGAAAAAACTTGAACGTGGCAGGTCAGAAGACCCAGGTTAAATGTCTACCTCCGCCACTTAGTGTAAGAGAACATGGCATAGAGAACACTGGATCCGAAGGCAGAGAAGCTAGGTCCAAAACATGTGACTTCTCCACTCTGGCCTTCAGTTTTCTCATTTGCAGAATGAAGGGACTGATGATGTTTAAGGTCTCTGTCACTTCTAAATCCTAAGACCTTAGGCTGGGTCACTTTGGGCAAATCATCTTACTTCTGCAGGTAAAGATTCCTCACTTACAAAAGTGAGAAGATTAGGCATGATATTCAAGATTCCTTTCAGATCTAACTCTTGGTAAGTGCTTTAATTTCTCATTCAGCCATTTACTCTCAGGATTTTTCCTACTTTGCGATAATGCCAAAAGTTATTTCCTTAACCCAAAACACAAAAAGGAAGAAGGTATTGTGTTTGGGGACATCTAGAAACACAGTGGGATTATATTCCCTTCCTTGACTCTCACCAAAAAGCCCAAAACCAAACTAAGCAAAAAAAAAAAAAAAAAAAAAAAAAAGCCACATGAAAACAGCATATTTGAGAAAGAGAAAAGCACAAAATGAGGTTGTTTTAAACTAGTTGTTGAAAATCTATCACTTTGGAAGATTTTCTGCAACTGCCAAATACAATTCCAATTCCACATTGATCAGCCAGTTAATATTATATTTTAAAGCATCTGCAATGTGCAAAGACCTTTATATAATTTTTTTGCAAATTATTTAAGTGCTATGACAAAAGTGGTTGGAAATAGATGAGGTTAATTAGGAAAAAACATTCCTGGAAAAGGCAATTTAAGCAGAGTTTTAAATGAGAAGAAAAACTCACAAACTGGCCAAGAGATGGGACAATGACATCACGGAAAGGAGAAAAGGCACGTTTAAAGAAAAAAGAGGCAGGAATAAAAATTGGAAAGACAACAGAAAAAAGGGTTTATTGGATACAAGACAGCTAGTGTTTGAAAGTAATAAGAAACAATAGTGAGAAGATGGAAGGGGAGCCCTGAAAAACTAAGGTGAAGAATTTAGATTTCATCTAACAGAGCAGGAAAATGACACAATTAAAATCTTTGAAGAAAATGGGGTATCAAGTAGAAAAGATAAAATACACATGTGAGAAAGCAATAAGGTCTAATGCAAAAGGGCAGTTAGAAAGACCTGGATTCAAATTCTGTCTCTGAGTGTGGATAGCCATGAGCAAGTCACTTAACCACTCAGTGCCCCCAGAAACTCTCCAAGACTAAAAACTACAGCAGATGCTAATAGCCATAGGTGGAGGTAAGTGCCATGCTGTGAATTTCTTACAAGATGAAATCACAAGCTCTCACCTGCAGATAGTGTTCCACAGAAGTCATCTTGTTTGAGCCTCACTACAACCTTCTGAAGTACATACCATAGAGAAAATACTATTATTCTCATTGGTAAGTGAAGACACTGAATCTTAGAGAGATTCAGTAGGCTGTGGCTATGGGAATGGACAAGAATAAGTAGATATTCTAGAGGTACAGTAATTGGCAAGATATGATGACGAATTGGATTTGGGATGTAAAGAAGAATGTGTAAGAATTAAAAAGGTAAATGTCAATACAATCTGTTTTAGTCAGAACATTACCTGAAAACATTATCTTGAACATTGGAGTTTTTTTGACTCAATGTATCATCCTCTCTCGTGACCTAAAAAAAAAAAAACAAAAGAAAAGAAAAGAAAAAGAAAAAAGAAATCATAAGAACTTGTTTGAGGTAGTTTATCTTACACCAGTAAACAAGACAGTATTATTTCTTGGCTGCTATTTTTTAAAAAGGTAATTATTTCCCAAGTATTAGTATTTAATGTCAAACAATCCCATGGCCAAATGAAGCAACAAATAAAGTTGCAGAAAAAAAATCTGCTAATATGTAAATATACCATAGTTTCCCCAAATCTTTGCTCTAAAGGAAAAAACTAAAAACTAGAAAAGAGAGGAAAGTGAAAAAAGAAAAAGAATATGACTGGTTGAATTATTAGTTATGTGGTTAGAGTGAACTAGGCAAGGTTTAGAAAATACAAAATGATCCAATCTTTAGATTTTAAAGACTTACTTTATAAAGAGATTAAAAAAAAACAGCTGTTAAGCAGTGTAGCTGCAATTTTAATGTTTTTAGAGGGTATGGTGAAGTTTTGTGCTATCTTTTTTTTAGTCAGATGATGGGTTTCCTATGGGAGATAGAATTTAAATATGGGGAAAAGAAACACCTTGATAGGAAAGGGGAGATATCAAGGACATGGCATGAGAAAAAAACTCCAATAGATCTGTGATCTCAATGAGTTGGGAATTCCTTCCAAGGAGATAGACCATGACCAGTCCATGTGTGCAACCCATGAAAAAAGATAATGCCATTGAGAAAGGAGTGAGGAATGGAAGAACGTTTGGCAGAGTAGCATGGTTAAATGACAACCTAAGGTCCATTTTGATGAGCTATTGATTTCCTCCCCGACACAGTAAGACCACACTGGAAAAGCCTCACTCCTCACCCCAGAGCAATCTGAGAGAGGATTCCTTCTCACCTTATGAACCGCTTCCACTTGAGCCTTCAGGATATTGCTCTTGATGTCTGGAGGAATCCTCAAAGAAGGTAATCCAGGACTCTCAATGACATTATTAAGACATTTTTCTGTCAACTTCACAACTTCTTCCTAGAAGTTAAGAACAGATGTTAGCACCCCTGACAAAGAGTACCTCATTCAAGACAATCACGAAAGTTAGGTTTTAAGCTGCGGCATGGAAGAAACATTAATTAATCAGGCACATTAAGTGGCTACGCCATTTTTTTCTGGTATATTTGACTCCCAGGAGTTTCAAACAATCACACAAACAAAGACTACCCTGGAGACAAGCTTGTGTAATTTTTTGCCTTCAAACAGATTGACTAAATCACCCAAAAAAGATTTTTTTTTCCCTTAAGCAGTCAAAGATTCATGGGATAAGAAGACTAAAAGAATAGATGTTTGTTACCCATAGAGAACGAGATTGGACAGAGTAGCATTAGATGCCAGGAGCTCTACTGAGGAGAGGAGAACTAGCTTGTATTGAGCCACCCTGTATTATCTTGGTTCTATATATCAGGGAGTTTGACTTTGTTCCATAAACGAATTTTAGAATGGTTGGTACATGTCTAGAAATGGATAAAATGATCACTAGGCACTTACTGGCTTTCTTAAGAATATATCATAAGGGCAGCTAGGTGGTGCAGTGGCTAGAGCACTGGCCCTGAAGTCAGGAGGATCTGAGTTCAAATCCAGCCTCAGACCAAACACTTGACACTTACTAGTTGTGTGACCCTGGGCAAGTCACTTAACCCTAAGTGCCTTAAATATATATATATATATATGTGTGTGTGTGTGTGTGTGTGTGTGTGTGTGTGTGTGTATATATATATATATATATGTATATATATGTATATGTATATATCATGGTATTCCCTAGCCCATAGTAGGTACTTAATAAATGTTTATTAACTGAATGATTATAATCTATGGCCCAATGATCTGTTCAAGAGGAGAATATGCTAGAAATAATACAGACAGGATTCCTACATTGTAGGAGAGTTTGAACTATATAATCTCTAAATGCCCCAGGGCAGCAGTTCTAAAGCTAAAAGGAGTATGAGAAGTCATTTAATTACCCTAAACCTTATTTTCCTCATCTGTAAACTGGGAATATAATAGATCACTCATATCTATATGATGCTTTAAGGTTTTCTATGTGTTCTATTCATAATAAATGTGTGTGGGAGAAAAAAAAGAATATATCAAGGTAGACACAAATAGAAAAAGACTGTTCTCATTCTCAAGGAGCTCATACTCTAATCGGAGAAAGCAATACGTGTAGGAAAGTACAGAATGAGGGAGATGGAAAGAACGCATGGCCCTGAGGATAAAGCAACAAGACCAACGTCAGGATCTAGGAATGTTTGCCCCACAGAAACAGCCCACAAATCCTAGGAAGGGAGGGGTAGGCCCAAGGGTCAGTGGAGAGATTTTTGTTTCCCATAGGCAGAAGACAGAATGAGTCGGAATATGACCAGGAAGGTAAGAAAGAAAGGGGGCAGTGGCAGGAAGGTTTGGACTAAGTTCTGGTGCAAGGAAGAACAGGAAATTGGGTCTTGCTAGATGCTAGTTCCACTTCTTAATTTTACTAGATAACTCTTCTCTTCTCCATCAACAACTGGCCAAAATTTCAGCCCTTTCTTTAACACGATCAAAGAAATATGAAGCAGCTCTCTAAGACCTCAGTGTTTACATAGATTTCCCAAAGGAGGCAAAATGTAAAGCATTATGCTAGAGAGAGAAAAGTCCCAAGAAGTTGTAGAAAATGCACAAGTGCATGAAAGTAAAGCTCGAATACCTGTTTGTTCACGTTAATGTTGATATTGGGTTTAGCAGATGACGAGGAACAGTTCTCAATCTCAAGCAGTTTGAGCTTCATAGAGGAATCCTTGAATTCTAGGGAGAAAAAGTTGGCAACACAACTCCATGAGCATGCCAGGCTGCCGCAGCTGTGTAAGGAATTAATTTTAAGTTGTTCCTTTCCAGCTACCAGATATCTTCAATTAAAGGTAATTATCCTAATGTCATGGGGTAAATAGATTTTCTTTTCACTTAGAATGTAACTTGCCATTATCTTGATCTTTAAGGGCCAACCATTAGAGAAAGAAAGATGTGGACAAGGATAAGTAATGATTATAGTCCTCCTCTATGTTGTGCTTCAAGGTTTGCAAAATGCTGTACATATACTTGATCCCCACAAAATTTCTGTGAGGAAGGTGCTACAATACCATTCTTGTGCAGATAACAGGCTGAGACTGATTCAAGAAATACTCACTTGTAATGTTACTTGTGAAACAAGGCAGGTAAACATATTTCTGTCCACCTATTATTTACTTACAAAATGTTTTAGAGGACACGATTAATCTTTGGATGGCTGCTTCAAGCTACTCTCCCACCCTCCTACTACCAAACACACAAAATCATAATTCTATTAATCTGTTAAATCATAGAACTATGATTTTGTCCATCAGAACAGGACAGAATGTAAGAGGTTACCTAGTCCAACTTTTCATCTAATGCAAGAATCCCACAACTCTCCAGGCTGCAATCCAATTTCCCCTTTGTATATAACTTGTTTGTACACAGTTTATGTGCTTGTATGTTGCTTCCCCATTACAATGTGAGTTCCCTGAGAGCAGGGATGTATTTGCCATTCTTTGCATACCTGATTCTTAGCACAGTACCTGGCACACAGTAAGTGCTCCATAAATGTTTGTTAACTGACGGAGTAGGCCCTCGCAATAAGAAATGGAGACCAGAAGGGGGCAGTACGCTGCAGCTAATCTGGTTCTACTTGAAACTACTTGGAATAGTTTCTAAATAACCAAGGATAATGACAGCAGAGGAAGTATCCAAAAAGTGACTGGGTACTATGTTTTCATAATCTCACAGTTGGCTGCTGTCCTTCTCTTGTGAAAGAGGACAATTATTTCAAAAATGGAAAATTTGTTAGTCAAAGTTAATGTTGGCGTCCCTGGCCTTGGCTTACTCAAAGAAGTAACCCGGCTGACACAGATGTCCTTTTCACCAGGGATGGAAAGTTTATTCTTAGAGATTGTCTGTGCCATGCGTATCTTTAACCCAATCAATCAGCGAAGCGAACTGGCAAAAGTGGTAGATGGTAGGTATGGGGGTGGGGGTAGGGTGAGGCATACTTTTCAGAGATGGCTGTTCATTTATTTTGCTTAGAAGCATTTATTTGCTACGAAAGAGGATTTTATTGGTGAGGAGAAAAGGAGAAGGACTGAGAAGTAATTTTTTTTTTTTTAAAGACCATTAATGAAATTTTTGTCTTAAAAAGTTTCTGTGTAGTATGGAAACTGACTTCTCCTTTCAAGCAACTTCCTGGGAAGCCTTCATGTCATACTAATGTAAAATTTCATGATGCAATCTGAAAAACCCAAAAATATTTAATGATTTTTAGGATTTTCGATGTTGACAAATATAGGAGAGGTTCTTGGAAAACACCAGAATGTCTGGACCAATTAATTCACAATTCCACTCATAAGACATTAATGTGTCTGTTTTCCCAGTTACCCTTCAACATTTGCATTTTTCTTTTTGGTCAACTTTGAGACCTGATAAGTTCTAACCATTCTGGAAAGTAATTTGGAACTATGCTCAAAAAATTATTCAACTGTGTATACTCTTTGGTCCAGTAATACCAGTCCTAAGCCTAAATCCCAAAGAGATCAAAAAAAAAAAGAGGAAAAAACACTTACACAAAAACATTTATGGCAGCTATTTTTTTGCAGTAACAAAGAACAGCTACTTACCACTGGACTCAACATTAGCTTCCTTGACGCCAAGCTCAATAGCAGCCATACTGATTTCCTCAGGGGCCACAGATATTCCCAGGGTTCCAGGCACTCCCTTGGCCTCCTCATCAGCTGTTTGTAACAGCTCTGTGTTGTCTAATAAATCAGTCAGAGGCAAGCTGCAATGACGGCAAGGAGATAGTTTGATGTGCTACTACAGCTGGGAACAAGAAATTTCTCAAAAAAAGTATTTAAAACATTAACATTAACAAATACTTGTTGTTTGTCAGGGTATAGAGGCTCTTTTGGCTTGTCACCACCTTGTTTTAAGCGAGTGATTAAGAAAAAAGGAATATGAATTCTAGTTTGAATACTTTGACAGTCACTCTAAATAGAAGACTTTTAACCCAAAACAGACCTGGCAGTATTTTTCACTAACTTCTATTTTAAATGTTGTTATTGTAGAAGAAAATTCATTTTGGATGCATAGCGCCAAACTCCTGAAATACAAATCCAATATCTCATATTTTGTGTTGAAAAACTAAAGCAAGAAAACACCATCAAAATGAAGGTTTGCCTGATACACAGTTGATGGATCTCTGAATTGGTTTAACCATTCTGGAAAGTAATTTGTAATAATGCTAACAAACTAACAAAAACATCCACCATTTGACCTAGAAATGCCACAGCTGGGCACATGTCCGCAAAGATCCCATATAAGCCAAATATTCACAGCAACACTTCTTGTGGTAACAAAGAATTGTAAACTAAGTAGATGCCCACTGACAGGAGAATGGTTCGACAAACAGTGGCACAAGACTCTAATGGAGTATTACTTCAGCACAGTAAACTAGATCTAGTTTAGCATAACTAGCTAGCGTAGCATAAACTAAAATAATAGAGATAAGCATAAGACTTATATGAAATGATGCAGATTGAAGTAAACAGTATCATGAAAACAATATTCACAGTGTAAACCTCTCGAAGATGAGCCCTCCTCTCCCCTGCTACCACTCTAGTGCAGGCCATCACTTCCCATCTACATTACTGCAATAGCCTGCTGGTGGGTCTGCCTGCCTCAGGTCTCTCCCCACTCCATTTAGCTCCATCCTCCATTTAGCTACTAAAGTCATTTTCCTAAAACTTTGATCCAAACATGTCACCCCCCACCTTTACCCTACTATTCAATAAATTCCAGAGGCTTCCTATTGCCTCCAGGAATAAACACAAATTCTGTTTAGGATTCAAAACCCTTCGTAACCTAGCCTCCTCCTGCCTTTCCAGTCTTCTCACACCTTGCTCCCCAACATCTTCTCTCTGATCCAATGACATTGGCCTTTGGGCTATTCCATGAACAAGACACTCCATCTCTTGGCATTCTCTACTGCTGACAGCGCAACTCTGATGGGCTGGCAGTGGGGTTCAAATGCCAAACATACGCTTCCCAAAAAGACTTTTATGAAGCACTTACAAAGGGCAAGCGCTCAGATGGTGGGCAGAAGAAGGAACACAAAGACACTCTCAAGAACTTTGTAATTGATTGTATGACATGGGAGACACTGGCACAGGACCGCCCAGCAAGGCGTGCCCTCATCAGAGAAAGTGCAGTGCTCTACAAGCAAAGCAGAATTGAAGTAGCTCAAAAGAAATGTGAGATGTGAAAATTTAGAGTATCGACCCCAAATATTCAAATGGACTATTTGTGCCTGACCTGCAGTAGAACATTCCAAGCTCATATTGGTCTGATCAACCACAGTCAGACGCGCTGTAACTTAACTTTAGAACAGTGAGGTCATTTTGGTCCTCTTTGAGAACGAAGGACAACTAACCATCTCTTGGCTCAGGGGATTTTCTCTGGCTGGAAAGCTCTCTCTCCTCAACTTTGATAACTGACCTCCCTGACTTCTGTTAAACTAAACTAAAATGTCACTTTCTACAGGAAGTCTTCCCTAACCCCTCTTAATTCCAGAGCTTTCCCTCTTTTAATTATTTCCTATTTATCTTGCTTTTTCTGTATTTGCTGGCATGTAGACTCCTCTGTTTCTTGAAGTCAGGGACTGTCCGGAGAAAGAGAGAGAGAGAGAGAGAGAGAGAGAGAGAGAGAGAGAGAGAGAGAGAGAGAGAGAAACTGAATGCTATATAATTTTGACCAAGATTAGTCCTAGAAAAGAGTTCAGAAAATGTACATCCCATTCCACCCTCCTTTGCAGAACAGTCCATTACATATACTGTCGGACACAATGTTTGTTTTGGTTTTGCTGAATTGCTTTTCCCTCCCTTTTAAAACTTTGTTATAGGGATGGCTCAAAAGGAAGAAAGATCAGATACGTGTGAAAACAAAGTTAATTTCAAAACAAGATACCATTAAAAGTAAGGTGCTCCCCACCCTCTACCCCATCAATAAGGTGGTTTAAGAGAAAAATTTAGGCCCATCATTGTTCAAAGGGAAGTATAGCGGAAAAGAGCACTGGATTGTGAGTGAAAAGAGGTAAGATCCAGATCCGTGATGTGTCATTAATATTTAGTGCATGGACTTGCAGAAGTCAATTAATGGTTCTGGTCCCAATTTCCTCATTTGCAAAACTGAGAGAGCTGGACTAGATGACCTCTACGGTCCCTTCAATTCTAAAATTCCACAATCCTATAAACTCACATCACCTTGTCAAGTAATTAATTTTCAGGCCCTAATAGCAATATAGGCTCTATCATATCCCAAGCCTATTTGAAGAGTGGAACTTTGAATGTTTGCTGGAAGCTGAGATTCTAAAAGGGCAAGAGATCTGACAATTTATTTCACTCACTTCTTCTCTCTATCCCAAGAAGAATTCTAATGCAATCTATTCCCAAACTCTCAAAGTCCAAGGGGAACTCAAGAGGAAAGCATGGAAGCAGCTGAACAGAAAAGAGAGAAGAGGGAGCTGAAACAGAAAGTCAAATATGAACTTTCCTTTCAGCAAAGCTTTATGCATCTCCACAAAAAAAAAGAGACCCAACTGCTTCGTTGATCTTGCTAGTTGATAGCAACAAACACTATAAAGAGTGACTGCTCTGAAGATGTGGCTGATCAAGTTAAGAGTTCTCAAAATTGGGGGCAGCTAGGTGGCGCAGTGGATAAAGTACTGGCCCTGGACTCAGGAGGGCTCGAGTTCAAATTCGGCCTCAGATACAAAACATTTACTAACTGTGTGACCCTGGGCAAGTCACTTAACCCCAATTGCTTAAAAAATAAAATAAAATTAAATTAAATTTAAAAAAATAGTTCTCAAAATCAACAGCCACCCTAGCTCTACCATATAATCCCCTTTTGGATTCTGAACCAGGCAAGGACCCATCTGGAAAACTCTCAAACTGCACATTCTTCTTTTCATCATTCAACTGAATGGCCCTTGAGATGACACATAGAGGTCAAAGGGCCTTTTTTGCTACCTACTGTGGTATCTCAACCATCTTTCACTGAAGACTTCTTCGGTGCCTATATCATCCAAAGACTCCAAATACATAATAAAATACTACTACTATTTTTATTTACCTACCTTACAGGACTAGTATAACTGCTTTAAACCACAAAAATAACACATAAAAATGAGTTAAAACTTCAAAAATATCTGTGATATTATCAGCACAGGTACTTTCCTCTACCAATAGAGATAGCAATCCATTCATGACAAAGCAGGTACTTAAGCAGCTATCTTTCCCACTCTTCTGGGGCAAACAAACAAAACAAAAACCAGGAAGCTCCAATTCAGGAATTTAAAATGGAAATAGGAGCGAAACAAAGAAAACATCACTAAGTGAGGCACAGAAATACATTTCAGAGAAAGCGGAAATGAGGAAATTAGAGAGTAGATTAAGGGAGGGATTAGTCCTGAGTAAAACATTGTAATTAAGAATATATAAAATATTTAAAGCTCTTTTTGAAGTGGCAAAGAATAGGAATCTGAGGAGGTCTCCATAAATTGGGAAATGCCCGAATAAGTCATGGTATATAAATGTGATGGAATACTATTGTGTGCTATAAGAAATAATGAAAGGTATGCTTTCTGAGAAACCTGGAAAGAACTGTATGAAATTATGCAGAGTGAAGTGAACAAAAGCAGATTTCTATGACAATAATAACACAACCTTGAAAGAATTAGGAATTCTGATCAGTATAAAGTCCAACTGTGATTCCAGAGGACTAATGATGAAACATGATACTTACCTTCTGTTAGAGATGAAGGATACAAAGTGAGACATATTTGGAGGTAGGAGAAAGGAACCGGCCAACAGAAATTTTTTTTTTGCTTGGCTATATATATATATTTGTAATAAGAATTTTGTTTTTCTTTAGTTCTCAACTGGAGGGCAGGGGAGGAAGGAGAGAAGGTAGATTTTTGCTCATATAAAAAAAAACAATTAATTTTTTAAAATAATAAAGAGACTGGAAATAATAAAGAGATTGGAATACAACATTTTAAAGGAAAAAAAATAGGGTTACAACCAAAATAACTTTCCCAGTAAAGCTGAGTATCATCCTACTCAGTATCATCCTTTAAAAAAAAAACAAAACCAGAATCTTAAGACTTTTAAGCAATTCTGATGAAAAGACCAGAGCCAAATAGAAACCATGAAAACAAATACAAGAATCCAGAGAAACCTAGAACAGGAAATTTATTAGAGCAAATGAAACGAGAATAAGATGATGAAGGGCTAACATTCTAAAAGGAGACGAAACGAATGTCCTTCAGAACCAGGAGAAAAATTTATACAGTAACAATACTGTAAAGAAAAACCGAAAGACTTAGGAACTCTGTTTAGTCAATAAGCATTTATTAAGCTCCTACTACGTGCTAGACGCCGAACTAAGCTCTAGGGATACAAAGAAAGGCAAATGATAATTTCTGTTTTCAAGGAGCTCTAAGGGGAGCGACAACATGAAAACAACTACATACAAGCAATGACCAAGTATATTCCTAACAAAGAGAAAGGTGATGGACTCACGGTACAGGAGACATACAATTTTGGACGTGGTCATACTGTGTGGATATGTTTTCCTTAATAATGTTTCCTTATTAGAGGGAAGAGTTTGTTATCAAGTGTTTTGTTTTTTTCTTGATTTTAACTGGTGTGGGTAGTCTCCCATTAAACTGTGAGGTCCTTGGAAGCATGGATCATTTTTTGCCTCTCTTTGTCCTCAGGCTTTAGCATAGTGCCTGGCATGCAGTAGATGTTTAATGAATGCTTGTTGACTAACTGGTACCCCCAATCAAAAAAAAAATCATTGAAACATTTTTTAGAAACATCAGCAGTCGTCAAAAGTAACATTGAATTTATTACATCTTTTTTTTTTTTTAAAGTAAGCAGTATGGAATAGAGCTATTCATGGGTTCTTATGTAATCCTCTTTTTGTGTATATGGAAATCCTCTATCTAGCATTTTAATTCAAGATAAAAACTATTAAGGAGAATTAAATAAGCTATTTGTTGGACTTGGAATCAACTGGTTTTGGTGCAAGAATACAGACATACTGGTAGTATGGTGTGTAGAAAAATGCTTCCACAGAGGCAGACAATTTTCAAAACAGCCTCAAGCTTGAAAGGGATCTTTGACTTTGCTTTGTCTGAGAAAATACATGGATGCTCATGAATGTTAAACTCTATTTCATCCGCTCCCAAATCCTTAAATTCCACCAATCTACCTTTCTGCTACCCAACCTCCGA